CGGGAAAATTGTTGACTTTTCCTCTTTGATGGCACTCGCGAAATACAATTCGCCACGCCCTTCATAACGCTCGCTTGTTCTTATTGGACGCGATATCAAACGTCATTTTATTACAAAAAGAGAAACTTGGTTTTATGTAGGTACATAACATATAATTCATATACTTAATATACATACCTACTTAATGTATTATTTTATGTCTAAACCAATAAAATAAAATAATTTTAATAGTAGGTACCTACATCTGCTACATACATTAGAAATATTAGGAATTAATTATCATTATTAGTAATTTAAAACCTAAAAATTCTGATTGCGTATATACAAATTATAAACAATTTTTTTAATCAGGTGTAACAAAGACAATCATTATTAGTGTCCCAAAATGGTCACAAAGATTTCTGCAGAATTGTTAAGTGGAAGTAACGATGAGACGGCTGCGTTTGGCAGAAAAATGCGTTAGCCAGCGCTTGTAAGCAAAATGGCGTAATTAAACAGTTTTCGGCCAGGACACGTTTGCTTACTTCAATAGCGTTGACACAATCCGCCATTTTGCTTATTTAATTTGTTTGTTTTGAATTAGAGCTTATAAGTTGTTTTGTGCAATAATAGTTTTAAGTAATAGGTATAATGACGTGAATAAACATATTATACATGTTATTAAAAATTCATGATTGGTAAGTTTTTAATATGAATACTTTACAAACATATATTTAAATTAGGTTAGGGTACCCGGTTAAAACTAACTTCGTGTCCTTGAGCAAAATAGCTATTTACGATTTGACAGCGCTTACCGCTTACGATCGCCATTTTGCTTACAAGCGCTTGCTAGCGCTTTTTTCTGCCAAACGCAGCCATAGATGATAGTTTATATCTCTCTCTCTCTCTCTGCTCTCTCTCGCTACAATCTCACATTCGACCACTTTAAAGTAACATTTATAACACCTGGTATTATAACACACTTGATTGTAAATATATTACAATTGAGTAACTTACTTAAATGAGATTTATAATACCTAGGTAGCTTAAATATATCGAGGTTAATGTTTATGCTGAAAAGCTTAAAACCATTTACTACATCGCATGTGAAAATATTAAACGTACTTTTTCACGGCTAATAGCTTCAATCTGATTTGTAATATTAAAGGCAATCCAATTAACAAGATGTTCTTTGTGAATATAATTATTAAAGTACCTACATATATATGTATACATATGCACTTTAATAATTATATTCACAAAGAAAGTTCGCAACAAGTAAAATTTTAATTTGTTCGTGAATAACAAATAACAACATTGTTTATGGCATAGGATTAGGGTCTGTGTTGGCACGTAAGTTTGCGCGGTCTAGTGAGTAAAGATAACATTATTTACAGCCTACTATCAATGTTTCTACACGTGTAGCCTGTGGTCGAATTATTTACAGCGGACTGTCGACGCCTTACGTGTCCAGTACAATAATGGCTTCAGGATCTTGGTTGGTGCTATCCCTATATTGCAGTGCATCAGGCATGTTTGCAAAGGCGCATACGGATGACTACTACGCCATTATGAAAAAGAAAACAGCCTCGTTGCTCGGCAGAGTGCGGGTTAGCTTCAACTCCATCATGAAAATAATTGCTGAAAGATATGACTCATATCTTTTTGAGCAATATTACCGCCTCTGTTTAGATGATAAGGCACTTATATTTAAGAATTAGATATAGGTTATAAGTTCCATATTTACTAACAAATTATATGGATTACTTGGTTATCTGAAAGAAAAATTATAATAATAATAATTATTATTATTATAGCGCAAAGGAGGTGTAGTGCTGTAATATGAATACGAAATATCTTCTTCAATATGGTTTCATTAATCCTAGTAGTAAAATTATATTGTGTTATTAAATTATTTTATATATTTCCACAATTATTATCAAAAAGAGACCTTGAGAACGTAAGTAAGCAAAAATTATATAATAGCTACATTTTATAAGTATGTAGGTACTTTGTGTGAACAAAGCAGCGAAATTGTGAGGTTTTCATTCGTTCATGGACTTTATTAGGAATTATCCAATAGAGTACTTCGTATTTATCTAATGAAACCATAGTGAATTAGATTAGACTCTACTACTTTTATACATGGTAGAGCCAAGGTGCAGCTATATTATGGTTGTAGTACGAATGGGTCGGCTCGACCGGAGTAGGACCACGTTCTCACAAAATACCAGCACAAAATAGCAGCTTAATGCTACTGTGGTTCATATAGTGAGTGTAGAGAACCGGAGACCCTTTTTACTGAAATCGAGGCATTCCATCTTAGTCCTCACGGGTGACAACGCCTCTGCATTTTGATTCTTAATCGAGGATAAATGTAGATGTCTACGGGCCACAGCATCCACTTAGTATTAGGGGGGCTGTATGCTCGTTTGTTACACTTATTCTATGAAAAAGGTACTCAAATTTAAAGGTAACAAGACTATTTCGCCTTCTCCTCAGTTCAAAAATTAAATTAATGGTTATTTGTATCGTGAAGTAAGAACTATCGAGATAGTTATAGATAGGTTTTCTCGGAATAAAAGGCTTGATAATGGCAACAGGTTTTATATAACGAGAAAGATGCAAAATGTATTTGAAACATAATATGTTTTTGTCCACGATATTTTAAATTCGTAAGTCTATATTGGTCCGTAGTACTTCAGAGGTTTAGCGACTGCCGAATTGCGTGCAACCCTGGTTCTACCAATAAATTTATGAATGGCAACTTTAAGTGCTGATTTACTACATGGTTGGCGTTGAAGTGGAATGCCGTGAGGAAACTTGCATGTCTGAGGAATAAAATAAAATATTTCGAAGATATGTGAAGTTCGCGAACACGCCTTGGGGCAGCGCGGCGGACAATTCCTTGCCCTAAAACCTTCTCAGAAATGGGCGGAGGCCTGTGCCCAGCAGTGGGACGTATATAGGATGTAACTTTACTTTTATATAAATACTTAAATAAATTTAAAGATAATCTACCAAATATACGTCCATTGAGCTATTATGTACTACGTACTAGAGGCGACACTGCATTCAGCTACTCTGTTCCACTCAACTGCAGTGCATACACCACACTTTTAACAGTCACTAGCTAGGCGCTTTTAGAGTTGTCACATGTTGTGTTGATTTAAAAAAAAATCGCTTGATAAAAGTATGCCGTCGTGTGTACGTAGATATTGCACAAATAATTCAAGAAATGTTAGTAAAAACCAAGGAATTACTTTTCATCGGTTAATAAGATACTTAATCAATAAAAAAAATTATAAATTAATAATTAAACAAATTATTCCTAAGACGCCATTTCGTGTCATGGAATATAGATTATGAAATTAATATGTTCAGATGCGACATTTTTGTGGGTACTTAAGTATAGGACGAATATATTATTATACACTTTTTTTGTAGAAACATATATAAGTTATTATAATTAGTCTAAATTTTTCATGTTTAAATCTGCTTATTATTCTTTTTTTTTAGGTTTCTACTTCAAAGTCAAAGTGGAATAAATTCGTCCATTCTTTCGTGCCCAGCATTTATGAACGACTCTTATTCTAATTTAAATAAATGTATTTGTAATTTAAATGTTGTGTTAATAAGTTTTGTTAAACATACAGTTAGTATGTTTTTATATTTGACATAGATATCTTTTAAAATATTCAGATAAAAATATCATTAAAACGTAATTGTGATATAATATTATGTAATATTATATTAAATAAGCAAATATAATAAACAAAATAAATGACAAAATTTAAATATTGTTCTCTATATAATTTACCTATTTAACAATACAATCTACTATTACCTACGGGTCATTCTACCTATGTTTATTCTATGATAAAAAAACAACCGCGCGAACACAGAGTAGCGCACATTTTTTGTTTGAGATAGCTGTTCTAGTACGTAAGTACATATTACTTCAATGTATACGTCCGACATTTTTATCCGCGACACTAATTGAAAAGAGTAATATCCGTTCAATTTCGCTTCGTAAAATATACGACGTCATTATTCTAAATGGCGAGCCAACGCCGAGCCGTAATGCCACAAATTAAAGCTTAAAACGGACGCTTAACAGCTGACCCAAAATCGAAGCCTCCCTCTGAAAGGGGGTTTGCGTGAAGTTACCCTTTAAAGGTTTGGCCAACTCGACAAACTGTAGAGGTCCCGTAGACGTTACTTACTATAAAGAACAAGTTAGTTGGAATTTGGAATCATGGACGTTAAAAATAAACTGTAATAGGTTTAATTACTTATTCAGAAATGTTTTCGTCTCACTAAATCGATCTTTGCCGATAATTGATAAAATTAAAATAAAACATTCAATATTTAAACTTAAATTGTGCGAATGTTTGTTCAAATAAGCCAATATCAAACTAATATGTATTTATTGGGTACAGATATTCGCAAAGTCCAAGCCAACATGCACTGAGGTAGAGTCAGACGCGAAAAGCGACGGGGCGGAGTCGCCCCGCCTTCAAACTAAGCTCATGGCAAGTGAGACCACGTCAAAAGTGCTCCAGCCGCGGCGTGACGCGCGCGACTCCCGCCAATTTTTTTATCAGACAGTGTCTCAGACTCGATTTTTGTTTAATCTGTACACGTATTTGCACTAATTAGTAATTTACTACTTTATAAAAAAAAGAACTAAGAATTCCATATTTAAATATATTTGTTAGGAAAAGAATTAAACGATATTGCAGATATTATATCTGTTTTGCAATGATTTTTAATTGGCACAATTATTTTGTAAATTATTCAATGGAATATAATTTTTAATTATCAAGTTAACAAAGTTAAAGTTTTTGCTTTGCATAAATCAAAACTCCATTAGGTTTTTTCAACTTCTACTATTTTATGTAACAAAATAAGTACACACCATTGTGAAAACATTCGTAATTATTTAAATTAAAAAAATGCAGTGAAGTCATTGCATTAAAATAAATAAGTGTTATTAGTGACAAAAACTTTAAAAAATCATGGAAGTGGCACAAGCCCCGCTGCAATTGACACAAGAGCATCAAGATGGAAGAATGACAGGTAAACACATATTTTTAATGTTGGATATGATAATATTTTATCTGAGTCATCAAACGTAAAACGTAAACGTTAATGGTTGGGTGGACATTATACGAGTATGTGGTAGAGCCATGCGGCAGCTGTATTAAGGTTGTAGCAGGAATCGGCTACAACCTTAATTCAGCTGAAGTTCAAATAGTACCTCAACGTAAAATAGTACCTCAATGCCACTGTGTATCGTATACTGAGTGCAGAGAACCGGAGACACTTTTTACCGGTATTAGATCTTAGTCCTCTGGGTTTGACAACGCGCCTTATTTCTTTTTTAAATTTATTTATCATTCCAAAATTGAGTACAAAAGCTTAAGTAAAATAACAACTAAATATAAACCACAAATTCTATCATACTATTAAATAAATATTTTTATAAAGTTTGATAAAGAAAAATAGAATATACGAAATATTACATTGTGTTTCAAATAGTATAGAATAATAGAATAGAATAGAATAATTTTTTATTCAATATAGATTACAAGTAATTCTTATTGAAAGTAAAAATTTTACTTTACCACTGGTTAGAAAAAAAACCTCCGTCCCCCAGGAACAGCAAGAAACCCAGCGGGACTTTTAAAAAAAATTACAATGTCAAGGGTCACAAAATATTTACAAAATTTATTTTAAAAACAGCTTGGAACCGACCACCTCATTCCCAGGGTTATTTTTTTTTAATTCTTTATTTGCGCAATATAGGTAGGTACAGATGGTGTTACAGTGGTCAATTTACATTGTTGATCGCCATATTTAGGCTCATGCCATGCAAAAATTCTTAATTATATGCTATAGATTAAATTAAAATTATTACATATCAAATTACAGTGTCTAAATAATTATTAAAATAATGTCTGTAATAAAATGAGATTACCTAATTAATGCAAAATGTCAACTTTGTAAAATAATGTCACATAAAATGTCTAATTGATGTCACAGTACCACTAAGCAATTTTACAATACTACGGTTACAATACTACATCTATTAATTTGTCTTCAAGACTCATTTCTAAGCGCCGTGGTAGCTCAGATGGTTAACGCTCGCTATAAATATAACAGAACGCGAGTAACCCGGGTTCGATCCCCGCCGTTGCACCAATGAAATTGTTAATTGCAATTTTAAGTGCTCACTTACTACGTGCTCGGCGGTGAAGGAAAACTTCGTGAGGAAACCTGCATGTCTGAGGAATAAGAAAAAAAATATTTCGAAGACATGTGAAGTTCGCCAACACGCATTGGCGCAGCGCGGCGGACATTTACTTGCTCTAAAACCCTAATTGTATTTAATTTTAATTATTTTACATTTAAGCCGCGGGTGTTCAGGGGTACTTGATTTCATCGACATCAGAATCACTGAAATTATGCATCGTTTTCGGCGGTTAAGGGAAACAACGTTAGGAAGTCTGCATGTGAAAATTTTAAAAGACCAACACACATTATGGCTGAGTCAGCGGTCTTAACTCTGTTCTAGAAGCCCTTTAAAAATTAGGACTAATCATGATATTGATTGCCTGTGTACGCATGATATAGCGTTGAGCGAGCTAACAGGCAACCTGACGATAAGGAGTTACTGAAGAGCATTGACTACCTCGTCGGTCTGGAAAGTTTAAATGCGGCTGCTAAACATGAGATCCCAGGTTCGTGTCCTGGATCGAGCAAAACTAAAAATCAGTTAATGAGCTTTTCTGTCAAGAAATTTTCTCTATCAGTCCCGGAGTGCAAGTGTTTCACTCCGTAAATCCTTAATAGGTGCTCCTGATAGTGCACCTGTGCTTGAGCATACACTCGGGCACTATAATCCTGTCCAGCGCCGATGGCTAGTCTCCGTTTATACAAGCCGCTGTGACTAAAATTACGATCTCGAGGAATTATTGGAGTGCATGGATTTCTTAAATATAGAATAAGGGTAACAAACGAGCACTCAGTTCTCCTGATGGTGGATGCAGTCGTCCGTAAACTTATATAACTATCTTTCATTGGACAACGTATCTACATTTTGAGACATTCCATCTTAGTCCTCTGGAGTGCTTCGTTACCAGTAAAAAGGATCTTTGGTTCTCTACACTCACCACACAAACCAGATTAGCATTAAGCTGCTATTTCACGCTGGTTTTTGATGAGAGCGTTCCCTTCCCCCTGTTGAATCAACCCATTCGTGCTGTTACCATAATAAAGCTGCAGCATGACTCTACTACATTAATACAACGTGACTCTACCGCTTTTAAATAGAGTGGCTCTACCGTTACTAGCGCTCTACCAAGTTATGAAGTGTTTTAATCAGAACACTTTATTAAACAGGGCTTCACAGGCGTTGACACCTCAAAATATGTTATTATAATGGTTCTCCATATATTTAAAATAGGACACGGAACACGGCAGTGGGTACACTGCTACTCGATGGCTAAAATAATCAACTATGTAGTTAGATTCTTTGACAGACTAGAACCCCTGCCCTCATAGAATTAACAGACAGGTAATTCTTACAATGGTCAGACTTAAAGGCTGACATTCACTGCCAGTCAACCCTTCAATATAATTACTTCGTACCAAATTTATTTAAAAATTAGACATATCATTATCATATATTTCTAACTGCGCCGTTGGTCAGATAGTCGTAACCGCGACTGATCATGTTGGGTCGGGATAAAATTAGTTATTGGGTTTATCTGTACTAGCCTAGAGTTAAAAAGCGTTGTATCACCCCCGTGCCTCGGAAAGCACGCAGTCATATCAGTCATTTACGTAGTTTTAAGTAGTTTATTGATAGGCTTTTTAAATCTGTATTTCGGAATAAAGCAAGTAAAATTTAAGAAAATAGTGGATATCGTTTTTGTCTGCTTTCAGTATAAATTATATTCCTTTCAGTTGCTTCCTTAAAGTTTAAGAAACAAATTTGAAAAATTGTCGAAATGATTATCTATTTCCTCTTCGGCGGCAAAATAATACTAAGGTTTACAATTTGATCGTCTCTCAAATTGCTTCACTAATAATTACATATTATTTTTTGAGCCGACTTTAAGAAAAATCAACTTTTAAATCCTGTTAAACGTAAATTTTTTAATTAAATAAAAATAATACAATAAGTATAGTTTTCATTTTCCTAAATTATAGGTTTTATGATAGGTAGAACGGAAATTTTAGTTACTCATATATGTGGATTTTTTTTACAAAATTTATGATTTAACAGAAATATTTCAAATTACTAAGTATATACTATAAAATCACCATGTGGTGAAATGTTGTAGTAATATAGTCGATTCCACTAAAGTAACTTAAAGAGTTTTTTTTATGTGTTAAAACACAATCACTCTCATAATAACGCCCGAGTGCCAACGATAAAGCATTAAATTACTTCCGTATTATTTATTTTACAATAAAGACACGGAGCTGCCCCGATTTAAAAATAATTCTAACTGAGATGCAATATGTATTCGAAACGTAAGCACATTATTGTGCGACGAAAATGAAATTTCAAATCCCCTGCAAACATTGGCTGTTTTGTATTCAAAGCGCAGGCTGACCGGGTAAAGTGGCAAATCATGGAGCGGCTGAAAATCAGTCAAATAGACCCCGAGTTACTAGCGATCGTTGGCTGCATACTAATATGTTCCTTTACCACCATTACGAGTAGAAGTATCGAAAAAAAAGGCGCATACCTATGAAATTGTTTTTTGATTATTTCGACAAAGTAGGTAGGTATTTTAAGTTATTTTATTATGCTTATTATTTCCACGATGTACTTTGGTTTTTATTTTATTTATAATAATAATAATGTCCTCCAGACCGAATTTTGGCCACGGCAGCCTGCCTCAACGGAGGCTAGCCAACGGCGCAGGACAGGATTATAGTGCCCAAGTGTATGCGCAAGCACAGGTGCACTCTCTATTCCCTCACTCTCATAATCCGATGGGACGGTAAACCGACACGATCGGAGAGAGATCAGGCGCAGGACCAACGGCTTTACGTGCTTTCCGAGGCACGGGGGTGAGACACCGCCAACTTCCTGACTCCGGGCAGCTACTGAGAATTTCTTGACAGAAAAACTCAATAATTGATTTTTTGGCCCGACCCGGGATTCGAACCCAGGACCTCATGATCAGCAGTCGCACTACTACAACCGCTAGACCAACGAGTCAGTCTATTATTTTATTTATATTGTTATAATAATAGTACTGAGTTCTGTGCCACAGTGTATAATGGTGAAATTTTGAACGGAATATGCGACGTGACAGTCGACGGCGAGCTCGAGGCCTTGGCGCTCGGACCAGGCGGCCAGCAGCTAAATAATATTAAAAAAAATCTGTTGAACTTGCATTCAATCTTTCAACCTCCCGCTATGTTCGTTCTCAAAAAGCTCGACAAATATTTTTACGAACTAATAGTTAACTGATTACATTAAAAATGAACCGAGCAGAAATTTCGAAGTTATTAAAAAACTAATCGATTTTGATGTGATTGGTGGCAATCAACGAGGTTTTTTAAGAACAATAATAAAATTTATTATAAAAAGAAAGCCATTTTTTGACAACGTTAACCTTCGACCGGATCAACCGATTTTGATGTGATTGGTGGAACAATAATAAAAAGAACGATTAGACTATAAATTCAAAAGTTATGTGAAACAAAACATCACTTTTTTCAAAATGTTCATCATCGATTTCTCTTCAACGCGTGGCTGTGGAAGGAAATGGGGAGATCTCCCGCCGGGCAAGGTTCTGCCCGGGGAGCGGCCAACACTCCGAGTGATAGTTCGGAGATGTTCTATATATGATGTTTATGATTCGGAATGTTGATAGCGTGATTTAGGCTTTGGTGTGTTTCGCTTGCGGCGCGACGACAGCGCCGCCACAAACGCATTAACTGATTTTAAAAATCAACGTCGTCGACAACGGATCTGGAGCTTAAGTAAAAATATAGTACCATATCCATTATCGACCTATGGAATATGGGAGGTCGCCTAAAATTTCGATACA